ATGATGATGATGATGATGATGATGATGATGATGATGATGATGATGATGATGATTAGTTTGGTTACTATAGCTATTGTAGTCATTAGATCTAGCATTTTTGTATGTTCCTGATGAAGCCGTTGGTCGGGCGAAACGTTGAACTTTTATAAAAATTTCTGGAAATTCTATAAGTCTCAACCCTTTTATATTCCTTCCTGTTTACAACCGTGATGGTGGTGATGGTGATGATGATGATTATGATTGTTATTATCATTATTATTGATATTTGAATATTATTGATTTCATCATTTAATGTTGTTACTATTTTACGATGTGTGTGCGCGCTCGAGCGTGTGTGTACAATGTATTGTAATAACATAATAATAATACTTATGTTAGAAACCAGCTTGACAGACAACCCTGATTTTTTTTTTAATCCGAAAAAAAGGACAGCAAGGAATGTTTCAAATGTTTGCTCTGAAAGTGTTAATGGGTAACAATGCGTACTGCAAAGCTTCCTAAAGGTTCAAAACCACAATGTGCAGCACTGAAATCCACTGGGAATTTTAGCCAAATTTGCAAGTGGTCCTTATCTTATGTTAAAGTCTGTATAACAAAGTAGTTTCTATAACTCCAAACTTCGTGACTCTCTCTCTCTCTCTCTGCTGCAGGTACAGGCAGGGCATGTGGTCACCAGTTTGTGGTACCCCCTGTACGGATGACCAAAGACCTGGACAACACCCACACCATCTACCTGGACACGATGACGTTATCAGCTCGCCCTGCCGTCGTCTGGGATCCGGAGCCAGGCGCCCTGTACACCTTGATTAGCTACGACGTTGGGTACTTGAGGCTCAAAGGTATCTTGGTGAATATCGCTGGCGGGGACTCCAGTTTGGGCCATGTGAGTAGAATGGGAAATGGCAAATAAATGTTGATTTCGTTGTTGTTGTTTTCGTTCTGTGGGATTTTTTTGTGGGCTAACAAAAAAAAAGTATATCCATTTATTTATTTATGTATGTATGTATTTATTTTTATTGTTTATGCTTTTACCTTTTGTTTGT